CCCCCCCTTTCCCCTCTCTTGGGTCATCCCAGCTGTCTCCGAGCCGCTCCCTCCTCTTCCCCCTCCACTGCCCCCCCCCACCCCCCGGCCCCCCACCTCCTTGCAGATGGCCGTGCGCCCGCTGCACTTGGGCTGCTGGTAGGTCTTGGGCAGGGCCCGGTAGCTGGAGCCGATGCGCTTGCAGGAGGCGTAGTCAATCTCGCGGCACACGCCGCCCTCGCCGCCGCCGCCGGGCCGCTCGGGGCCCCCGAAGCTCAGCTCCTTGACGCCGAAGAAAGACTTGAACTGGGCGAAGAGCTCCGGGAACTTCCTGCCGGGAGAAGGGGGGAGAGGGGTGCCCCCGCCGGGGGGCGTTGGTTCGGTCCGCCCCCCCCCACACTTGGCACATGCGTTGGTTCGGGCCCGGGTCCCCACGGGGAGGTGGGGGAGGGAGAGGAAGGGGATGGACCCCCCTGCGGGGCGCGTTGGTGCAGACTGGGGTCCCCCCGCCGGGGGTGTTGGTTCGGTCCGCCCCCCCCCCCACTTGGCACACACGTTGGTTCGGGCCTGGGTCCCCACGGGGAGGTGGGGGAGGGAGAGGAAAGGGATGGACCCCCCCCCTGCTGGAGGCGTTGGTGCAGACTGGGGTCCCCCGGCCGGGGGCGTTGGTTCGGTCCACCCCCCCCCACTTGGCACAGGCGTTGGTTCGGGCCCGGGTCCCCACGTGGAGGTGGGAGAGGGAGAGGAAGGGGATGGACCCCCCCTGCTGGAGGCATTGGTGCGGGCCGGGGTCCCCCCGCCTGCCAAGTGCATTGGTTCGGTCCGAGGGGATCCCCATAAGGAGGGAAGAAATAGGGAGTGGGATGAACCCCCGCCCACTGGGTGCGTTGGTGCGGTCCGCCTCCCCCCACTTGTCACATGCATTGGTTTGGTCCAAGGGGATCCCCATACGGAGGTGGGAAATAGGGCGTGGGACGGACCCCCGCCCATTGGGTGCGTTGGTGCGGTCCGCCTCCCCCCACTTGCCACATGCATTGGTTCGGTCCAGGGTCCCCACGTGGAGGTGAGAGAAGGGGGTGATAGACACCCCCGCCGGGGGCATTGGTGTGGTCCACCCCTCCCCCCTGCAACATGCATTGGTTCGGTCCGAGGGGATCCCCATATGGAGGGGGGAAATAGGGAGTGGGACGGACCCCCGCCCATTAAGAGGAGGGGGGCCCAATTAGGAGGAGGGGGACCCATTAAGAGGAGGGGGGCTCCTTTAAGAGGAAGGGGGCCCCATTAAGAGGAGGGGGGCCCAATTAGGAGGAGGGGGACCCATTAAGAGGAGGGGGG